TGTGGGAGGTGAAAGGAGAGGAGTTGTTACCACTGGTCTAGTAAACTGTTTTAGTTTAATGGGCGTGGTGACAGAGTAGGGAACCCACTAACACCATGAAGCCCAGTTTGGGCAAAGGCCCAGTTGTGGAGCTGGCTACCCTTTCCTTCCATTCCCCACCCCCTCTCCAAGGGCAAAGCCCAATTTTAGGCAACTGCTGAGAAGGTACGATCGTATGCATTTGTTTATGCATAGTTTCTTTCTGTCTAGTTATGACTACATTAAACATTCAAAACTAAAAATAGTTTTTCAGTTTTCTCTATCTTTAAATTGTCTGTGTTTCATGTGTGCTGCTTAGCATACAAAAATCAAAAGTCCATTGTACTGAAATTATGTAAAATTGTTAAGGAAAGTCTCTGCTTCCGTAGTCTGGTTGAAGAGTCTTTCTATGACCCAGATGGTCATCATAAAGCTCAAACTATCCTTTTGTTTAGAGACAAATATTTTATGTCTTCGCACAGATATATTGTGACATTTTGTAGCCATCCTGGCCTGTACGCTTTTATAGCTAAACTCCCGTAAATGTTTGAATCAGAGCTTAAATCACTCCATGCCATACAACATGTTTCTGAGTGAAATCTTAAATTTCTGACTTCCTAATTTTTTTACAACAAACACATGTCATTGTATATATAATAGTTAAATCTTCTTCCTCATTATTGTCTTGCCAAAGTACCTGTTACTTCCTCCTCATCCTTCCTTCAGAGCCAGGGGAAGACAGTGAGCCTGCCCCAGATTCTCCAGCGAAGTGTTAATCCTCTTGAATGAGGAGCATTTGCCAAGTCACAGTCAGTGTTCAGAAGGGACCCAGTCCTTCCCGTGCCTCATTCTTTCGTTTCAAAGTTAGCTCCCTGGTTAGAGGAAGTAGAACTATATTGTGGGATTTGGGGATTAAATCAATTGGATTCCAGATTGGGGTTATTTTTCCTGGTGGTAGTTTGATTACATAAGTCCTTAGTGTTTTGATTTTCCAATTTTTTTCTACATTAAAACTCCATCAGTTGTGTAATCAAAATGTCAAAGCTGAAGGAAAAGATCCTAAGAAAGAAATATAAGGATGTACACCTCTTTAGAGGCAGAGGACGGATTCTTAGCAATCACCATTTGTTGACAGGTTCATAATCTTTCCTCTGCAGTTCCAAAATCTGAAAAGTTTTGTGAAGGGGAAAAAAAATGTCCTTTTGTCAGGTTTAATATTTATAAGTGTAGGTACAGAAATAGTAACATGTTTGATTAAAGATTACTGCTCCCAGACCCCTCTGGAAATACCATATAACATATGTTCTATGAACTGTGTTACCTCTATAAAATTTGGA